CCCTAACAGGGCTGTCCCATGTGAGTGTCCCACAGTCCCATTCCCAAAGGAATCTGGACTTCCACTCCTCCCCACCAGCTGCATAGGAGGGTAGGAGGGCACTCTTTGCATCCTCCTAGGAAGATTAGAGAAAACATTGATGTCATTGTCACTTCCCACAAGGCCCTAAGTATCTTTGAATTTTGCCTTTTTTGGAACATAGAACCTAGATAAGGAGTTCTCCAAACTCCCTTTAATGGAAGAGAAATAACCATCAGCGTGGTTTTGAAGTCAAAGGGATTCTCAGAGTGTGTCACTACCTTGTACACTGTTTCCACACAGGGAGGGGTGAGGTTGCCACATAGCATTTCCGTCCAGGTCAGGGTCAGATCAAGCCTCAGGCAGTTTAGAGGGAATGTCCCTAAGCCCTCATTTTTGGCAGTTTTCAGTTCTGACCCACAGGACCTTGAGAAGTCACTTGGCATGCCTAAGCCTCTGTTCTCCTCTCTAGAGAGGGGGTGTCTGTTGAGGATTCACTGGGCTGGTGCTCTTCACAGAGCGAAGTCTATTGTTCCTCAGCGAACAAATGGCTCAATGTAGAATCCTTCACCTGACCAAAGTCACATTGTACTTTGAAAGCCCAGAACCTTGCTGAGTGTGGCAGCTCCTGTCTCTCCTGTTGCACATGTCTGAGAGGGCTAAGAGTTGCTGGGTGAGCTGCAGACCTCAATAATCCTGGTGGTGTTTGCACTGGTGGCCCTGACCCTGTGTCCCTCCTCATCCCACCCAGTGGAAGATGAGTCCATTTTCTCTGTAACTGAGGCCTGCAGGATGCGTGCCCTCCAGGCAGGCATGATGCTGGAGCTCTGAGAGTCTGTGGTCCCAGCCTTCCCTGGTAGAGTCCTCTGCAGTGTCACCACCTCCGTCTGCAGCTACTCAGCCATCAGCACATCCCACCAGGTCCTGGACCAGCTGTTTCCTAGGTGACTGCTGGCCACCTTCTCAGCATAGTGGTGACTCTGCCCACTGCCAGCTGTGTGTCTTGTCTTGGGAATGTCACCAAATCTCTCTGAGCCTGAGTTGGCTCCTCTGAAACATGGGGTGGGAGAGGATGAACTTGCTAGGGTTCTCCCAGGGATGGATGTGATCAGCCATCCAGGTGCTTCCTGGTGCCCAGCTCTGCAGAGAGGGCTGTGGGCCATGCTGTGGTTCTTGGTGGTGATTATTTCTCTGTCCCCCATGAAAAGTAGTCTTCCTCTCCCTACACTGGCTTGTGGATTTTTGAGTTTGGAAAAGCACCTGGAGAGCACTCTGTCAAGGAGTTTGAGATGCCATCCAGCTGGTCCTGGTGCTTGTCTTTGGTGTAGCCATTTAGGGATCTCTTGGGCCACAGAGGGGCCCCAGGCCCACTCAGACACCTGGGGTGGCTCTGGTTGGTGTTCATTCAACAATGTCTATGAAGGACCTACTCTCTGCAGGACTTCTGGAGATACTGTCACTGAATGAATGAAGCAGACACCCTTCCTGGGCCTCCACTCTAGTCTAAGAGTCAGACAGTCACACTTGACATCATTCGCAGGTCCCATCGACCCTACATCCCAGGCAATGTCCTCTCCCCTTTGGGACATCTGGAGGCAGCTTGCCCCATTGTGTGAGGGAAGCTGGAGCACAGGACCGCCTCCAAAAGTGAGAGGTCTTTGGGTCCAGATGGAGGGCCTACTGTCTCTAGCAAACAGGTTTGGGGGAGAGGATAGAGGCTGTGGCTGGGGCAGGCCTGGGAGTACACTGCATCTCACTCATCTTTTGATTCCCTTGGGAGGGCTAAGTTGTGGTGGCTTCCACTCCAGCAGGACCAAACTCAAAGAGAGCTGTGCATGGGCCCCAGGCCCCCTGAGAACCGGAAGGGAGACTGAGCTGAGTTGTCCCCTAGAGACCCATCCCCAGCAGAGTCCCAGCTCCTTCTGTCTCCCTTTCTCCACATCCACCCCTTGTGAGCGCCACCACCAGGTCCAGAGCAGGAGGTGCATGAGCAAGCTGCTCACAAATTTTCCTGAGTCTTCATTCCAGTGGCCCACTGCATGGAGGGCTGGGGTGGGCTGTGTCCAGACCCTTGGAGCGAAGAGTGTCAGTGTGAACAAGAGACTCCCCCAGACTCTGTGCTCAGCCTGCTGGATGAACAGGCCTGTCACTCACTGCCAGGACAGCCAGCTGGGGACCAAGGCTGGAATCAGGGCTGGGATCAGGCCCTCCTCTGGAGAGGGAGGTGCTGGCACAGGGGTGCAAATGCTAACAAGATGCCTTGGGCGGGCAGTGTTTAGGGAAAGGCCGGGTCTCTGACTCTCTGGCCCATCTGCCTCCCCCCAGTGCAATCTATTTGATGCTGGGAACCTGGCTGGACCAAGGACAAGATTGCAGGGAACCCCTGCAGTTTCCCTATTGGACCTTGATGCTGGCCACTGTTTACATCAGCTTTGGTGCTCAGTCGTGGAGGGCCATGCCTAACTTCTGCCAGGACACCTGGAGCATCTCAAGGCCATTGAGGCTGAGCAGAAAGGTGAGGGGACTTCAATCTGGGAAAACTGCCTGTGCTGGGGTCCATGGGCTAGAGTTATCTTAAAGGCAGTGGAGTCTTTCCTGTCTTTGGAAAGGCACAGGAACTGTCAGGTGTGTGGGTGAAACTTTCTCTTTATCCTGCTCCAGAGCCAGCTCCAAAGCTCCTACCACTTGCAGAGCCAGAGCCAGTGCCAGCCCCTGGGCTAGAGCCAGCTCCAGCTCCAGCCCCACCACCTGTGGTAGAGCTGGAGCCAGCAGCCCCTGCATCCGTCCCTCCAGGGCCAGAGCAAGGGCAACCATTAAAGTCAGCCCCAGTGCCAGCTCCTGCACTGGAGCCCACTGGAGGCTGTGCTCTACTGAGCCTCCCAGTTCCATCTGCACCAGTCATGAGCCTGCCGGATCCAGACCCAGAGCCCACCTGCCCCGGGTCTGTGACCACTGAGAACCAGCTGAGGGAGGAGAAGCTGAACCTCTTGGACTTCCCTCCCCAGCTGGTGGCAGAGCAGATAACGAGGATGGCTGTGATGAGCAGTGGGGCTCGTAGGGCGGGTGGGCCCTGCTGCCCTGTGCCATGAGCCGTTCACACCTGCCATTCCCTGATCCAGAATCCGATGATCTGGGTCCAAATCCATGAACCCTCCCTTACCAACACTGTGACCTGGGCAGCTTTCTTCCCCCCCGCCAAGCACTCGTTGTCCCATAGCGAACAGGGAACAGTAGAGATGGACACTCAGAGCACCTGCTGCACAGGGTCGCTGTGCCAATGAATTAGGTGGAAAAGAGTGGAAGTTGGGCAGAGTCTGGCCCTTTGGTGGGGGATGGGCACTCACTGGAGTGCTGCCAGGTCCTCAGGTGGATCCCCCATCTGCCCAGCTGGCCCAGACAGCCTCAGCACTTATCAGGCACTTGGTATGTATTGACTCCACTGGAGACACTCTAACAAAGCCTGTGGTTGTCTCTGCCTCGGGGGAATGCACATGGGAATGGGGAGTGGGACCCAAAGGGGACTGGGATGGGTGGAAGATGGCCCCTGTGGTGGGCAGGTGTGGGCTGCGTTCTGGAACTTGGAAGACATGAGACAGGGCTGGGAGCAAATGCCCCTCCCTTCCCCACAGTACTGTATCCCGGGTCATCCTGGATTGGGTGTATTCAGTGGACACAGACAAAACCCAGGGATTCCCACAAGCCTCAGGCCACATGCTCTGCTTCCTGAGCTCCAGCTCTGATCTCATGCTGCATGGGCCTACGGGGGACTGCAGGCACCGAGCAGGGGTGCAGTAGGGCTGAGTGACACTCCGAATCTTCTTCAGGAGCTCTTCAAGACGTTGGTGCCTGCCCACGGCCTCAGCTCCTTCTGGTCCCAGTGCAACAACAGGGAACATGAGTACCTGGCACCCACTGTCCATGACGCTGTGATACACAACAACACCGTGGCCAATTGCATCCCTGTCACCTGCCTTGGGGACCCAAGCATGACAGTGCAGGACAGGGCCAGGATGGTGGAGCTCTGGATCTGAGTGGCTGAGGTAAGTTGTGGCAGGCCCTGTCCAGAGGTGTGGGAATTGCCTCTTGTTTCTCAGCTCTCAGGATTCAAGCCTGTGGCCTGAGTCCTTCAACCCTCCTGCCAGGGCCACACTGACCTTGACTTGAGGTCCCAGTGGGGACAAGCTCACTTCCTTCCTTGTGTTGAGCTACAAATCCTTGTGCCTGCAAGTGTTACTCATTGGGTCCCAGGTGTCCCCTCCCTGGCTTCCCTGGGCATCTGTCTCATTCAGGACAGGAGAAGTCCATAAGGAGACAGAAGCCAGAGGCAGCAGAGCTCTAGCTCCCCCTCACAGCTCCATCTCTTCCCTTCCCCAAGAGTGCCGAGGCCTTGGAAACTCCTCTTCCCTCCACACCATCCTTTCTGCTCTGCAGAGCCCTGCCATTCACCGTCTCAAAGAGACCTGGGAACAAGTTTCCAGGTGGGTAGGCTGCTCTCCATCCAAGCACCATGAGGGTGAGGTGGACCAGGCAGCCTGCATTGGGCCGGCATGTCCCCCAAAGTCAGCTGAGACTACCTGGGAGACAACGAACACCAGGCACAGGGACTGATCTGGGTGCTTGGTCTCTGAGTCTCTCAGGGCCCTTAGGCCAGAAGTTCTGCCCAAGGGATTCATTTCCTTCAATTTCAGATCCTGCCTTGAGCCCAAGTGTTTCTTTTGCAGTAACAGAAGTCTCTATGCAGCTGAAACCAACACTGTTCCAAAGAGATCTGTTTGGGGCATATGGAAATGGAGGCCCCAGAGGACAAGAGGAAAGGCCCACTCCCCAGTCCCACAGGGACCTTAGGGCTCAGAGCACCCCAGTGAAATCCCTAATCCAGGCCCAAGGCAGTTTGGATTTTCTGGGTTCTCAAACAGAAAGGATTTGCCATTCAACCACCCCACAGTTTTTCTTCCTTTCTTTCTTTCTTTCCCCAGCCCCGAGGGAGAGTTCTCAAACCTTGAAGAAGTGGTGCAGGAGAGAGCAGTGCATGAGCAGGGAGCTGCTCCTTCAGGTAACCTGGAGGCTGGAGATCTGGCAGGAGGCTAGAAAGAGAGGGGAGGGGAACATCCTGAGGGGATGCTAGGAGGTGAGGTGCATGGCAAGGTTCGGCCCAGGCTGGGGGTCAGAGAGCCCTGTGAGGGTGAGGCAGGCAAAAGCCACTTGGCCAGGCCCCCCAAAACACCCTGCCCTCCCCCTCCCTGTCTGTTCAGCTGGGATCTGGACACACCCTGGGAGTCCAGAGGTCGGGGCCTTGGTCAGATTTGGAGCCAGGGTTAGGGTGAAGGCAGCAGGGACAGGGCCTCTGACTGGGACGGGGAGCAGCCTCTCCTCAGTGGGTCCTTGAGCAAGTCACTGCCCCTCTGGGGGCCTCGGTATCCTCCTCTGGGAAATGAAGTGAAATGATCGGTGGTGCAGGCCTCCCAGCAGGGTGATACCATCCAAGGGAGGACAGGAATGTGAGGAGATCTGTGCTGGCTCCTCCTCAAGAAGTGAAGGGAGGGCAGTGATGACACACAGATAACCCTGAGTCCTCAGGAGACTCCTGGAAGCAGGTGACATTCTCCTCACACTTTCCAGATGAGGAAAGAAGCTCAGGGAGGTCTGGGCAGGCCCAAGGTCACACAGGAGTGAGCCTTGGAGGTGGGATTTGTCTAGAATCAGAGTACCCTGGAGATGGGAGCAGCATAGGCAGCAGGCGACTGGAGCCAGATGGCCAGGGTCTGAGGTCAGGGGCCTTGTGGGACATGTGGAGGGGAGTATGGGTGCACTGACCCTGTCCTCAGCCCCGACAGGAGGAGACCTCAGTGTTGGTGATTGCACAGAGGGGCTGCCAGGAGGCCCAGGAGATGCAGCAGCAGCGTGTGAGGGTGCCTGTGGGGGAGGGGCCTAGGAGTCAGAGGAGAGGGTGCTCCCCCTCCCAGCTGGAGGCCTCCCTCATGAGAGGGGTCTTCCTCTTCCAGTGCATCTCCTTGTGGCCACAGAGCCTAAAGTGCCTGCATTGGCAGTGAGCAGGAGGAGGCCTGGAAGGGCTGGGAGCAGGATGGATTTGGGGTGGGGAGGAGCAGGGGCCACATCCCCTGGGATGGGCCAACAGCCAGCCCTAGGACATGACTGGTGGAGTTTGGTGTTCCGGGAGGGGAGAGGAGGAGGGAATTGTGGGTGTTGGGGTGTCCCAAGGATCCTAGGCTGCTCTGTGTGGGAGCATGGGGTGGGCAGGAGGCTGGGATGAGGAGTTTCAGGAAAGGGTTCATGGGGGCACCTGAGAGTGGGAGCTCATCACCATCCCCACCCCAATGGTGGCACAGGGTGTCATCCCCTCCCTTGTGACATTCTCCAGTTCCCTGGAGCTGCTGGATGCCACAATGGAGGATTATGTGGAGGTGAGTGAGCCTGGAGGTGGGTCTGGGGACTCAGGCTCCTGAGGGTGCAGAGGAGAGAGTCCTGCCCTGAGCCCTGAGCTCTCTGCATTTGGCAAAGGTCCTCTCAGCAGAGCCTCCAGCCTCCTGTGGGAGCTGGGGCGTCAGGCCCATCTCAGCGATGAGTGATGGAGGCTCCGCATAAGCCACCGTCCAGGTTCCCTGGGCTGCTGAGGCTCAGAGCCGCCTGACTGTGTGGCCACAAGAGGTGGTGTCTGAGCTGGATTCAGCCTCTCCCTCTGGCCCTGATGATGGAGAAAGAGAATTCAGGACCCTCCTAGTCAGGAAGCACATCAGTGGCTGAGCTGTCCCTTCCTGCCTGAGGCCTCAGTCTCCCCATGTGCCATCAGAGAGGGTTGGGTTACAAGGTCTCTAGCCTCAGCTCCTCTGTACCCCTGTTCTGGAGCCCAGAGCCTGGCCCAGGTCCAAGTCCTGTTTCTGGAAGGGCCTGCCCACTGGCAACAGTGCAGCAATGGAAGAGGTGTGGATGGGGGCTAGTTCCAGGGTAAGGGGGCTGTTTCAGATGGACTTTGGCTGTCTGCCTTCCAGGGGAATGTGCTCAACTGTCGGAAATGGAATGAGGTAAGCGACTGCGGCCTCACAGTGCTGAGGGTGGAGGTGTGGAAATCAGAGAGCCCCCCATGGGCAAGAACCCCCCTGGCCCAATCCCCAGGGTCAGACCTTTATTTGCAGAGTTCGATGTACAGAGCTGGGGATCCTATGGCGTTGGTGGGTGGGGGAAGGGCTGCCATCAAAGACGCCTTACTGGAAGAGGAGCTATTTCAAGCCAAGTGTGAGAGCAGGTAAGTCCTGACTGGAATCGCAGGGAGGGAGGGTTCCCAAGTGGGCAAAGGCCCCAGACTGGCTCCTTGCCCCCTTCTTCACCCTCTCCAAAATCCCTGCAGGGTCCCCCACTCAGGCCCTGTGGGCATCCTGTGGTTGCTCTGTCCTAGCAATTCAAACTGATGGAGGAGATCGAGTTGCTCCAGGTGGCTGCAAATCTGTACACAGTGCAGCGTGACGAGCACTTTGGGGCCTGGTTCCAGGCCGTGGAGCCCTTGAGCGAGGAGGAGACGTGAGGCAGGTCAGGATTTGGGTAAGGGCAGGGCGGACTCTCTCAGCTGAGCAGCTCCAGAGCCCATGGCCATCACTCCATGGTCAGCCTTGGATCTGGTTGCGTGGCGACTGCTAGGGCCCTTGGACTCCAGCTGATGGCAGGCTCCAGGATGCACGTGTGATGTGTGGCTCCTGAGAGCTCACAGCTTTGCTCTGTCCTGTAGCTACAGCCTGTCCTGCCAACTGGAGCCCCGATACCACTGGGTCAGAAAGATTCTACTCTTCTTCAAAGGCAAGAAGAACTGCTCAGGGCAGAGTGAGTGTCCAGACCAGCAGTGGCTGAATCCATGGGCTCAGGAAACATTCAGGTCAAACGTGGGCCTGGGGAGGCAGACAGTTGGCCCTTGGACCCAGCTCTACTGCTGAGCAGTCCTGTCCTGGGCAATTCCACTCACGTTTCTGGGACTGGTTTCCTCCTCTGTGAAATGGGTGACACTAAATATCAGCCCCTGTGTCAGGGACAGATGGGGTGCTGTTGGCTGACTGAGCACTCAGCACAGGGCTGGAGCACAGAGCGCAGTGGGGGCCGGGATGGGGTGTGCACTGTGGTTCCAGGGCAGGCCGCTCAGGAAATGCCTCTCTTTCTCCAGACACCAGACCCCCAACCAAGGGCCCAGTGGTGGTGGTTAAGACCCTCCTGAGACCAGCTGAACTACAGCAGGGACACTCAGGGTGCACAGGGCCACCTCCTCAGATTCTGATGAGGATAACTTTGTGATCTGTTTCCTGGGGTCCCCTGAAGGCCACGACAGAAGGCACCACCCCCTCATCTCCCTCCCCCCTTTTCCCCAGCACCTATGTCCCTATTTGGAAGGGACATATTTTTGTTGTCAATGGTAAATGCTGAGTTTGCGTATTATATTAAATTGTTGCTTCTTTCTAATCCTGGGAGTGAAGGTGTGCATCTTTCACTCCCCACACTCACAGAAACGAAATCCAGAAAGTCACATTCCTCCTCGAATTTAGAAACCTCTCAGCATCATCAACTCAGTTTATGTGAAGAAGGGAGAAATGCCAGTCCCCTCCCTGGCTACTGAAGGACATGCCCAAGTCCCCCTCACTCAGAGGACAAGATCATTGCAGTGTGGTTCACCCTGTCCAGGAGCAGAGACGGCCCCTCCTACCTCTTGGAACTAAGAGGTTGGAGGCACTTTCTCAGGTGGAGCAACAACCACTGAGCTGGGGGTGTTTTTACAACTAGCACTTACCTGTCCCTAGCACATGTCCTGCCCAGGACAGTGGCTGCCTTCCTACATTCTGCAGGAAGAGGGAACATTTTCCCGGTTTCTCTTGCACACAGATTAGGACCTTGTTTTCTGATTCAGTCTCTGGAGTGGCTTCAGCTCTAAGTGGGGAAAATACCATCAAAAGCTCAAAACGTGCATGTGGAGAAGACAAGGCCAGAGGAAGGTCCTGTGCAGATGGACTATGGGCAGGCAGGACTCCACCTTCTTGGGTCCATTGAGGGGTTCCCTGTTCACCCTTGACCTAGATCCTCCTGGGCTTCTGGTACCTGACTCCAAATACCATTTCCTGCTTGTTTACAATCCAAGTGGAAAGCTACGTCATGCAGCTTTTAGGGCCTCGGCCAGGTTTCCCTCCATATACCTGCTACTCACTGTGAGCTAGTATTCTCAGCATCCCTGATCATCTGCATACAATTGTATCTTAGGGCAGAAATTCCCTAGCTGCCCCAGCCTTTCTGCCAGGTCCATCATGGCCACTTCTCCCAGACTGGGCCTGATGGATCCCAGGTGAGCTCTGCTTTCCCAGGGTAATAGATGATCATCCTGACCAGGAATGACCCCACAGTCTGCCTGCTGCCGAGGGTGACCTCTGGGCCTTGTGTGCTTCTCAGGCCTGTGGTCTTGGACAGTCCCAAGTTTACACAATCTGGAGTATTTGTAGTGACTTTTCCTAAAGTCATTGCTGTGCCTGAGCCCAGCAACCGTGCAGCCCCTCAGCTGGCTGTGTTCTTTTCGACAGTCTTGTATTGTGGTTCTGTCATGGGGATGTGAGCCTTTCCTGATGGGAGATTTGAAAGAGGAGGCCTAAGAAGGGTGAGATTTGGGAGTCCTGCAGGGAATACCAGCAACCTGATGATCTGTGGATATGCATGGACACAGCCTTATTAAGGGAAATGCTGAAATGCTTCCCATCTGGGTGATAAACAGACACTGCTCTGAGCCAAACTGGAGCACCAGCTCCAGAACCAGGAGCAAAAGCCTTACCACCCAGCCTTTGCAATCTCATGCCTTGGAAACAGCATGAAAGAGAAGAGAAGTGAATCGCTTGGAACTTCTGACTTATCCTCTCCTTCCTGGTGGCTACAAGCATTACTCAGACACCTGGAAGGCTGGACTCCACCAGGAAGGCCCTCTCAGCCCATCTGGAAGCTGAGAATCAATCCTGGTTCCCAGCAGCCCAGGCCCTTGCTGACGCGGCAAAGCCACCCAGGAAAGAGACTTGCCGGAGGAAGGTGGGGAAGGCTGCACTTTCCCTCCAAGGAGAAAGAGTCATGGCAGTTCCCAGGGCTAGTCCAGGGCTGGGATGAAGGCATGGGTGTCCCAAGAGTGTCTGCTCCAGGACTGGGGTGCTCCTGCGAGTCAACCCAGCATGTGGCAATATTAGTACGTCTTGTAGTTCAGCTGTGGCAGAGGAGGGGCCGTTTAGTGCATGCTTGGGCTTCCCCTGGCCAAAAGTGCAGATAGTCACCCAAAAGAGACCCATAGTTGCAGCGAGGGTCACATATCAATCTTTTGTTTTTTACACTCTCATCTCCAAAATTTGTTTTTTTTTATTTTTTCATGTTTCCTGTCTTTGAACTTTGCCTGTCGATCTTATCCCATTTTCCTCATTCCATTGAGTTGTTCGGCTCTCTGAGCTGCTTTTGAATGATTATTTTGATCTTCTACAGCACACCAAGGATGTTCCATTTTATCTTGTGTTCTCCACATTTTGGTCCATGTTAGAGCCAGTCAACTGAACAGACTGTTAGAGTTCTTTGTACCCCCTTGAAACACAACATTGAATAGAGAACCTCTGCTGAGTGGGGCCAAATCAATTCATTCCACCGAATCAACTGCATGTCCCTTCCTCCATTATCCCAAGCCCCAATAACCCACTTCTTCACAGTTGTCCTAGGTTTCCATCTGTGTGTACTAGGCAAAGGATGCAGTAATTTTGGAGTGTAGCACAATTCCTCATGGGTCCCCTTTTGTATCTCATGCTTTGGGACCTGCTAGGAGTCAAGTTCACTTCAATTGAGTCTGGTGGGTATAGGTCCTGAGGAGGATGAGCAGTGTCTTGCCAGGCAATGACCTCAGGGGACATGATGACAGGATCCTCAGGGAAAGCAGAGTTAACCTCCTCAGACAGGAGGAGAAGGGCTGCTTCCACTGACAAGGCCAACTCTGTGCCACGTGGGAGTGAGTTAAATGTTCCAGCTTAATCGGGAACTGACTGTACGTCACCATTCCAGTTTTCAGGACCCAATCACTACTAAATCAATGCCATCACTTTCACTGCTGTGTAGTTGGGGATTCAGTTTGTGTAGTAATTCAGCCACTTGCAGGAAGAGACTCCGGGTTAGGTTTTCAGAAGGATCAGCTCTGAAGCTACAGGAAGTAAGAGTTTGTTTCGGGGAAGATACAGACACTTCAGGTCAGTTATGGTGGTTGAGCTGAGCTGGGAATTTGACACCCTGTGCTCATCGTTTTCTTTTCTCATTTAATCCAGTGCAATTAGGAACAGTTAGCTGATTTCATTACATTTGTTAATTTGTCAGGAATGATTAAAGTGTCAAATACATGATCACTGAGAACTTTCCCTTTTATAAACATCTGGTTAGGAGTATCCAGTGGTGACATTTTGTGTATCTCTGTTGCCACAGCCTGCCATCAACTCTCAGTGCCCTCTTTAACACTGGAAATAGAGTCTCTGGTGCCTTTCAATTTAATCAGGTTAGAGGACAAATTCCAGAAACCCCAGAATCATTTCAGAAAACACATCTTTAAGATTTTATTCCTCTAGAACCATCCTTGGAACCAAAATCTGTATTAGAGTTCTCCAGAGAAAAGAAACATATTTATTTATAACGTGAACATATACATTTGTGTATACATACGTACAGTCATGTCTCACCTAATGATGGGGACATGTTCTGGGAAATGCCTCATCAGGAAATTTTGATGTTGTGTGAACATCATAGTCTGTGCTTCCACAAACATAGATGGCACAGCCTACTATATACCTGGGCTGCAAGGTACTAATCTTATGGGACCACCATCCATCGTATATGCAGACCATAATTAGTGGAAACATCCTTATGCAATGCATGACTATATGTATGTGTATATATACACACACAGAAACACATATACACACATTTCTTTCTAGAGATTTATTCATGGAAGTATTCTTGATTATGGGGACTGGAAAGTTTGGATTATAGGGAAGACAAGTAGACTAGAATGTCTAATGCAGGATTTTTTTTTTTTTTTTGAGGAAGATTAGCCCTGAGCTAACTACTGCCAATCCTCCTCTTTTTTCTGAGGAAGACTGGCCCTGAGCTAACATCCATGCCCATTTTCCTCTACTTTATATGTGGGATGCCTACCACAGCATGGCGTGCCAAGCAGTGCCATGTCTGCGCCTGGGATCTGAATGGCAAACCCCAGGCCGCTGAGAAGTGGAATGCACGCACTTAACCGCTGTGCCACCAGGCCGACCTCTAATGCAGGATTTTAAACTGCAATCTGAGGCATAGTTGCTTCTTCACCAGGAAACATCAATTTTTCCTCTTATGGGTTTCAACTGAGTATCTGAGACCCACTCACGTTTTCAAGGGTAACATTTTCCGAAGTCAGCTGATTTCAGATGTGCTTGATTAAACAACTGGGTACTGTAACCTAGCCAAATTGACACAGAAGACTAACCATCAAGAGTTGTAAGAGTTCTTTCTATATTCTGAATATTCCACTCTTAGCAGATATGTGATTTGAAAACATTGTCTCCACTTCCATGGTGTAGTGGACTCCCTGACATTTGTTTTTTCTTTCTTTCTTTTTTTGTAATGCAAGTGCCTGGCTTAAGCTTTGATTGTGGAGGCATCCATTTCAAAGAGGTGTCCACTTCAAAGATGGCCATCCCCAATAAACACATTGTCAGCCCCAGGACCAGGTAAAGAGCCAGGTCCCCTCTCTCCACTGAGGGTTTTTCTTTTAGAGAAGCTGGTTGATTTAGATAACTGGCCATTTGGACGACTTGGTTTTCACTTTCTTTCTTTTTGTCTTGTCTCACACTTTATATTCCCACTCTTATATTTTAAATTTGCCAATAAAGAGTGAGCCCTTGAAGCCCTAGCCCCTACTCTCTGCCCCAGTAAAAGCAGAACCCCAGGCCTGTTCTCTCTTTCTCTCTCTGCCTTCAACCTTGCTGTGCGGCCTAAGGCCTGTGAGTAATAAACCTTTATTTTTTCAAGTTTTCCTGAGAGTTATTGCTGAAGGGCATCTTGCAAATAAGAATCCCAAGGGCCAGTCCACCCACAACACTGGTTATTGATAGGCTTAGACTTACACAAAACAGCTCGTGGTTAAGTTTTAGGAGTTCTGTACATACTCTAAGTACAAGGTCTTTATCAGACAGAGGATTTGCAAATCTTTTTCCCAGGTTTTGATGTGTCTTTTCATTCTCTATATAGTACCTTTCAAAGAGCAGAAGCTCGTAATATTGATAAATTCTAATTTATTCATTCCTTCTTTTGTGGATTGTGCTTTTGAGGTCATATCTAGGACCTAATCCAAAATCATAAGGAATTTCTCCTTTGTTTTCTTGTAGA